GGAGTGCCTGTTTTTGGTGCAGTTAACTGGTTTTGGGCAGCTCCATGTGTTAATGCATTAATTCTAGGTGTTAACCCACTTCATTTTGGTTTTTTACTTTGAAATGCTTTTTTATTCACTCCCCTGCGAACGAGTCGCAGCTCCTGTCTCCTAATGTGCTCTGTGAACTGTTCCATATTTTCCTTCATCTGATTTACCAATTCTGTGAAAGTATTATGTGCTGCTCTTTCCCTCTGTGCACTTACTTGTCCCGTTCTGACAGGCACCAGTCTAGGTCTCAGTGTAAGTTTAACTGGAACCTGGCTTTTAGCATAAGGTGGTGGTTGCAATGCAGTGGACCCCGCGTCATCTTTTAATTTGACTAGGACCACCTTTTTCCACTTCTGTCCCCATTCTTCAGGCACAGGGGAGCTACCTGAAGCCTGCTGTTTACCACCAATATTTATAACACGGGACGGCACTTTTTGCTTCTGCAGGTTTTCTACAGCTGTTTCCAATTTTTTATTTTCCTGCTTTACTTGCTCGAGCATATCATGAGTTTGGACCGCCTGTTGCCCTGCTAACAGAGCTTGGGCTTCCCAGTGCTCGACTGCCCGGGTTACCTCTTCTACTCCTCCTGTTTTTTCTGTGACTTGTTTGGCCAGCATTCCAACATGCTGTCTGAGCCGTCTCACTACCAGAGACATGAGTTGCAAAATTCTTCCTTTTTTACTCTTATTACTGTTTCTCAGAGCCTCGGTTTCTACCATCGCTCTGCATATGCCAGTCCATGTTTCCCCACTCTCTTTTTTAAATTCATATGGACCCCCCTTACTGGCAATCCAGCGGGTCCAAGAGTTATTAGACTCCGTGGGGATTATAAGGGAGGAGATAAGGGGGTTCCCTAGTTCGAGGTTTACTGCTATGTTAGATAGCGATTCTTACCATGGCAGTTTTGCTTACTCACCAGATCAGCGGTCAGGGTCACCAGTGTTGTCAGATGCTACCGGTGTGGTGCTTCTGTTTTTTCCTGTTGATATCACTCGGCTGCGTGCGTGCGTTCCCTCTGTGTGCTGCCCCAGCTCTGCACAGATAGCTGACACGGCAAACCCGACGAGAACCCCCAATAACCACAGAGTCTAGTAAGATACAAAGTCACTTCGACTAGGTTTATTGCGATCTCGGACACAATGGCAGTTCCCCGTAGATTACTAAGTCTACCGGGCATACTACGAGAAAGTGCCTCTTGGCAATGGACCCGGCTCAGTGGTGGGACTTTCCACTGCCCCAGTGGCCGGACAAAAACACCACCCCAGTATACATTCTTATACACTGGTACAAACAAGTTACACATCACTCCTGACGTATTGAGGTGCAACCCCTCTATGTAGTAAGGTACAACCCCTCTATGTAGTAAGGTGCCGCCTCTCACCTTGTACATGTTGGTTCGATCAAAACAACTCTATCCAACATTTTACCCTTTTGCCCCTGTCATTGGGATGGGTCGGCCTGTTCCATGTTACCTGTGGAATGTTCCCGTATGGTATGTCTTGGTACCATGTTTATACTTTAACTTTGCTAGGTGAATATATATTTATGCAATATCAGCCCTTTCCTTGCCAGCGTCTGTGAGCAGGGCCTGCCTCTGGCTCACAGCTTAGCTTTGCTTTATGTTAGCAAAGTCTTGACCATTACTTTAGTTCAGGCCTTAGGCCTCATACCAGGCCTCTGATACCAAGGTTTATATCTCAGGGCCTCCTCTTACTACAATGCTGACTCCTTTACATCTGTCAGAGGTATTCGATATACTGATTATGGTGAATTGTAACGTATAGCGCTACACTGCAGTTGCTTTGTCCTTTTCTTTCTAGGAGGATCCCATAGATAGGGCTTTGCAATTTTCTGTCTGCCCTGAGGATGTTTTCATGCAGGCTGCCAGCCTCTACTCTTAAGATAAGGAGAGAGGTCTTTGAGCTGTTCTTCCAACTTTTAAAACAATACAAGTCATGCAAGTTTGCACTTTGTGCTGGGAGGTTTCAGTTTGAAGATAGAGCTACTATCATAGAATCATAGAATATCAGAGTTGGAAGGGACCTGAGGAGGTCATCTAGTCCAACCCCCTGCTCAAAGCAGGACCAATCCCCAACTAAATCATCCCAGCCAGGGCTTTGTGAAGCCTCACCTTAAAAACCTATAAGGAAGGAAATTCCACCACCTCCCTAGGTAACCCATTCCAGTGCTTCATCACCCACCTATTGAAAAAGTTTTTCCTAATATCCAACCTAAACCTTCCCCACTGCAACTTGAGACCACTACTCCATTCTGTCATCTGCTACCACTGAGAACAGTCTAGATCCATCCTCTTTGGGACCCTCTTTCAGGTAGTTGAAAGCAGCTATCAAATCCCCCCTCATTCTTCTCTTCTGCAGACTAAACAATCCCAGTTCTCTCAGCCGCTTCTCATAACTCATGTGCTCCAGCCCCCTAATCATTTTTGTTGCCCTCCACTGGACTCTTTCTAATTTTTCCACATCCTTCTTGTAGTGTGGGGACCAAAACCTGACACGATACTCCAGATGAGGCCTCACTGATGTAGAATAGAGGAGAATGATCACGTCCCTCGATCTGTTAGCAACAAGCAGAAGGTCAGGGAAAGTGTGGGCCCCTTACTGAATAGGGGAGGCAACCTAGTGACAAAGGATGTGGAAATAGCTAATGTACTCAATGCTTTTTTTGCCTCTGTCTTCACGAGCTCACTGTGGAGAAAGAAGTGGTTCAGGACTATATAGAAAAGCTGGACAAGCACAAGTCCGTGGGGCCGGATGCACTGCATCTGAGGGTGCTAAAGGATGTGACTGCAGAGCCATTGGCCATTATCTTTGAAAATTCATGGCGATTGCGAAAGGTCCTGGGTGACTGGGAAAAGGCTAATGTAGCACCCATCTTTAAGGAAGGGAAGAAGGAGAATCTGGGGAACTACAGGGCAGTCAGCCTCACCTCAGTCCCTGGAAAAATCATGGAGCAGGTCCTCAAGGAATCAATTTTGAAGCACTTCGAGGACAGGAAAGTGATCAGAAACAGTCAGCATGTATTCACCAAGGGCAAATTATGCCTGACTATCCTAATTGCCTTCTATGATGAGATAACTGGCTCTGTAATATGATAAGTAATCATCATAATGCGTGGCAAGAGCTCATAGGCATTATCATTTCATCTGACCTTATCATATCTAATCTGAAGGCTAAAGTCCAGCCCATCCCTATTCTCAGAGAAGGGTGACTCTATAATTTATGGGACATTACAAAACAACATTAGGAAGTCCTGTGTTCTGATTGGCCATTAGAGATCATGTTGTGACATACATTGCAACCCCACGCAGTATCTTTGGTGACCACTGTATGACTTTGATGAAAGGTTTATGTATGATTGTGTGTTGTGGGACTCCAGAGGGACCTACAGCCTAGCTCATGGCACAGCTCTCTGCAGCAGGTGGTTCTGGGAAAATATACAAAGTGCTGTGGGCTGTTAGTGGTATTCCAGGCTTTAGAAGGGGAGGATCCTAGAGTCATGCCCCGCACCCTCAACCAATGACTGGGGCAGTGACCATCTGTTTTTTTCTGCTCAATGTTTGTCCTCTGTGGTTGATACAATAATTTCTCAATACCATCTTCTTAGTCATGTTCTCACAGCTCAGCAGGGGATAGACACCTGGTCTGCGACTGAGGAAGAGGGAAAACAGGTGGGTGGAACAATGGGGGCCGGAGTCACTGCCTGATTCTCACCAACTGCAGCATGAAAACATTTGGATATCTTGTTCCAAGGGCTTTGCAGGAGGCACAGACGGGCTTCTTAGCCTCCATCTAACTTCTGCCAAGTCCTGGTCGGCAAAGCTATTCCAAGTGACAAAAAGGCCTGGTGGATCTGTGTTGCTTCCGGTGACGTATCCAATCAAGTAGTTTTCACTGTGAGGGGGTTTTAACCCATTTCTCAGAAAATAACATGCAGATTCAGACCAAATTTTCAGATTCCAAAGTGGTGGACTTATCTATGGGGGGAAAAGGTTGTCATCTCTGCTTTATTATGAGCCACTATCACTTGCCAAGTGCCACTTTTTTGTCCAGACCACTCTAGTGCTAGTTGGGGGAACCTCAGATTTCCTTGACCCCTGTCAGTCTGGTTGTTAGCCAGCGTGTAGCACA